TCCGTCGTTTGTTCCCGGGGTTATGACTTCTAAATATATCTAAATGACCGGCATTGTGTCTGGGTGGGCTGTTTGTTGTTAAACTCCTATAAAAGATCTTGTTTGTCATCTTGTACATGTACATTTAGAAAAGAATAGACTGAGGTGAGGCATAAGTAGAACTCTGTGTGTGTGTGTGTGTGTGTGTGTGTGTGTGTGTGAGAGAGGGAGATAGAGAAAGAGAAGGAGGACGTAACACGCGACGGGCGGAGTGCAACGATAGAAGGAGAGAGAGAGAGAGAGAGTGAGAGAGAAAAAGAGGGGTGGGTAGGGTGTCAAGATGCACACAAGGAGAAAGAGGAGAGATAGCGAAGAGAACGAGGGAGATAGCGATAGAGAGAGGTGAGGGAGAGAAAGATAGAGAAAGGGGAGGGAGCCAGAGATAGAGAGAGAGGGGAGGGAGACAGAGATAGAGAGAGAGGGGAGGGAGACAGAGATAGAGAGAGGCGAAGAAACGAAGGGTTGAGAAGCTATCACCGCCTTTCCATTCCAGACGGCTGTAAACTACAGAGCGACACGCTCTTCGCCTTACTCGAGACGACAATTTTTTTTAAAGTTAGTTTTAGTAGAGGTTTTACGGCACTCGCAACTGCATAAGGTCATATGAGCGCCAGAAGATTAGAGGTGTTACAAGGGGGTAACAAACATAAAAAAGAAGAAGGGGAGATAAGGACGAATACATGTTTGATAGGAAAGAAGACGACAATTTTTATTGGAGACAAAAGGTATGAGTTTCTCTTACTACAGAGTTGAGGGAACAGCATAAGGGGGGAGGTGTTTGGTTTTTTTTTTACTTGTTAGAGTTTTACGGCACTTGCAATACAATTATGTCATGCAACTGCTGAAGATTTGAGTTGTTACCAGAGAGTGAAATACATCGAGAAACAACGAATGGGGTGGTTTGGAAATGTTATGAGAGTGAGGCCACAACAGTAGGTTCAATACTCCGACAAGCGTGGGTTGTTGTGGGTTGTTTTTGTTGTGTTTTTTTTTTTTTTTTTTTTTGG